TTCGACCAAGTGTCTCACCTTGGTGCGCTCCGGTCTTATTTGTGAGTAAGAAAGATGGTTCTGTTAGAATGTGTATAGATTACCATCAGTTGAACAAGGTTATTGTCAAGAATAATTATTCTCTTCCGAGAATGGATGATCTCTTCGATCAACTTCACGGTGCCACTCGTTTTTCTAAGATAGACCTTAGATCTGGCTATCATCGGTTGAGAGTCAGAGAAAGTGATATCCCTAAGACAGCTTTCACGACCCGCTATGGTCATTATGAGTTCCTAGTTGTGCCCTTTGGTTTGACTAATGCCCCTGCAGCCTTCATGGACCTTATGAATAGAGTATTCAAGCCTTATTTAGATATATTTGTTATCGTATTCATTGATGACATTCTAATCTATTTGAGGAATGAAGAAGATCATGCTAGTCATCTCAGAATAGTTCTCCAAACTTTAAAGGATAGAGAGTTGTATACCAAATTCTCTAAGTATGAGTTTTGGCTTTAGTCTATTGAATTCTTAGGCCACATTGTTTTCGGTGATGGGATTTGAGTTGACACTCAAAAGATAGAGACACTGCAGAACTTTGCTAGACCCACGTCTCCAATCGACATTAGGAGTTTCTTGGGATTGACTGGCCATTATAGAAGGTTCATCGAGGGTTTCTCATCTATTTTATCTCCTTTGACTAAGTTGACTCAGTAAACAGTTAAGTTTCAATGGTCTGAAGCTTGTGAGAACTTTTCAGGAATTAAAAAAGCGGTTGACTACTGCCCCAGTATTGACCTTACCAGAAAGTGCGCAAGGTTTTGTGGTATATTGTGATGCGTCCAGAGTTGGTATGGGTTGTGTGTTAATGTAGAATGGCAAGGTTATAGTTTATGCGTCTAGACAACTTAAGGTTCACGAGAAAAATTACTCAACCCTTGTTTAGAGTTAGCTGTCGTAGTATTTGCTTTGAAAATATGGCGTCAATATCTTTATGGTGTTCATGTGAATGTGTTCATCAATCACAAGAGTCTTCAGTATGTGTTTATTCAGAAAGATCTAATGGAAGTGGGAGATGATGAATATGGAATTTATTACTGGTTTTCCATGATCTCACAGGCAGCATGATTCCATTTGGGTGATTGTAGATCGAATGACTAAATCAACCCACTTTTTGCCGATAAAGACTACCCAATCAACAAAGGATTATGCCAAATTGTATCTTCAAGAGGTAGTTAGACTTCATGGAGTTATAGTATCGATTATTTCAGGTAGAGGTGCACAATTTACTGCTCAATTTTAGAAGTCATTTAAAATAGGTTTGGGTTCAAAGGTGAACTTGAATATTGCTTTTCATCCTCAAACTGATGATCAAGTAGAGCACACTATTTAGACTTTAGAAGATATGTTGAGGTCTTGTGTGATTGATTTCAAGGGTAACTGGGATGATTACTTACCTCTTATTGAGTTCTCTTATAATAATAGTTACCACACTAGCATCCAAATGGCTCTGTATGAGGCTCTTTATGGGAGACGATGCAGATTTCCTATTGTATGGTTCGAACTTGGTGAAGCTGGGTTGATAGGACCAGACTTAGGTCATCAAGCTATGGAGAAATTTAAAGTTATTCAAGAGAGGTTGAAAACATTGCAGAGTCGTCAAAAATCTTACACTGATGTTAGGAGAAGGGACTTAGAGTTTGAACTAGATGATTGGTATACTTGAAGGTTTCACCCAGGAAGGGTATCATGAGATTTTATAAGAAGAGGAAGCTTAGTCCTCGGTATATTGTTCCTTATAGAATATCCAAGAGGATCGGTAACGTATCTTATGATTTGGAGCTACCGCAAGAGTTAGCAGCGGTTCATCTAGTATTTCACATTTCTATGTGGAAGAAGTGTATGGGCGATCCATCGCATATCATACTTACTGAAGATATTGGTATTAAGGATGACTTATCTTATGGGGAGATTCCTGTTCAGATTCTAGATCGCCAAGTTCACAAGTTGAGGGCTGATGCTTATCGTGACTAACGATACTAACCTACAGTACGAGTGTCTACGATAGTCGATAATATAGTAACCCAACCAAGGGTTGGGGTCGTATCCCAAGGGAGTGGTTTTGAGAATTAGTAGAAAAATAAAATTTAGTTCAAACTAGTTGTAGCTAAAGACATTAATGATTAAAAACATTTTAAACTAAAAGGGGTGACATAAAGGTGTCAAATATCAAATGGGGGTCACAAGTAGTAAAAAAACAACAAATATATTAAGAAGATTAAGTATGGGGACAAGTTCTTGGGATGTGACCGCAATACAAGTTGAGATAAATCGTTGGGTACATGCTTTCTATAGGAAATTTGCAAGTTAATAGTGACTAGGTTAAGCTTTAGATGGAAATAAGTTCCCTCTCGGGCAACTTACCCCGTTTCAAATGCGTTCCTCTCGGACACCCATTTTCCACATGAAGGCCAGCCTACGCCTTACCCCTCTCACTCTCTTGAGCTGAGTGTTAGGATATGGGACTAAGGCTCACCCTCTCCGGCTGAACCTCATGTCGACCCACTTCTTAGGCCATCAGTTTAGCGGTCTTGGTTTCGCGGCCTCTCTTGGGCGGGCGGAAAACACATGGGTGGTTTTGTATTTGCAACTACAAACCCATTAAATTAAACCACAACCACTAGGTGAAATCACCATTAAAATACATCTATCCTATCATCAAGCAAGACCCAACAACAATATCAACACATATTTGCTAAATCACACCCCAAAAATGGGGTTTTTAGCCACACATCAAGAAATAACAAAATACACCTAAAATAATACTAAAATCAAATGGGTATAAGGAATTAAACCTTGATTGAAGCAAAGGAATAAGATTGGAGAAGACCCACTTCCAACTTGGGGAAGATGAAATCCTTCTTTCTTCTAGTCTCCCAAAAACCCTCTCCAAACTTGAGAGAAAATATCCCAAGAAGTACTATTCTACTCTGGAAATTAAAATAAATGTTTGACTCTTAAAAATTAATAACAAGTTTAGTATTTATAGACTTCAGAAAATAGTGCTGGCAGATCTTTCAGCGAGGTTAGTCGGAATCACCGATTAACTCGGCGATTCGCCCTTTGGTGTAGTTCATCGCCGTCTTGCACTAGCCTTCAGCATCGACGTGCTTTGTGTCATTGGGTGACCTAGTACTACTTCACAGAATTATTCAAAGAAACGCTGACTGCTCCTTTCATCACCTTTTTTATCCTGCTCCTTCAAGGCTTCGCGTACTGGAACAAAGGGCGGAATGCGTCCCTTCGGCGAATCGCCAAGTGTGCTTGGCGATGCACAGACTTCAGCTTCTTCATTCTTTTCACCCTTTTTGTTTCTTTTTGCGCCTAAGTGTCCATGCTTCAACTAAAACTTCAAATACCTGAAACTTAAGAATTTTCATCAGATATTGAGACAAAATTAGCCTTTGAGGACACTATCCCTATCAAAATAAAGCCCTCAATAAGTACAGTTTGTGGACTCATCAAGGGCTAAGGAAGTAGCGTCAGCCAAGGTTTTGTGGAGAAATCAGTTTGTTGAGGAAGCTACTTGGGAAGATGAGAGGACATGAAGAAGACATACCCACATCTCTTTGAGTCAGGAGAAATTCCAAACTAAGGTACAAATCCTTTTATTGGCATTTGTTTTAAGTTGGTATGTTGTATTTATATTTTGCTTGTTGTGTTTGAGCTGAATGTTAGATGTTACACCCTTAGTCTACTTAGAGTAATCTCATTTGATGAAGAATGTTCCCAACGGGGAAATATTGTTACATCTCGCTATTTGAAAGAACTAGAACTAGAAAGAAACCATTTTTGGAAATATTAAATTTGGAAATATTGGAAAGTTATGCTAAGTATGAGTTGGGTCAACTTCTAATGACTGTAACTTAAATACATGATGAGTTAGGTGTGCTATAAGATGGAAAATAAAAGGTCTTGGAATACTCTTTCCAACACCACCAAATTTGCTAATTTTCCAGCTCGCATGAGGGAGATATGCCCATTTGAAGTCGGGTTGTTCAGTTAAGGAAAGTCACCCGGATTTAAGATGGGTATTTTGGTCTTTTCCTTACCCAATTAGTTTAATTATTTTTTAGTAATTAATTAGGGGTCTAAACTGATTTGGTTCGGTTTACGCATTCCAAATTGACGCTAGGGCTTTGAGAGAGGAGAAAAGAGGAGAAAAACCAAGGTTTCATCACGTTCTTGAGATTTCCCCTGCGGATTTCGCCAAAGGTTAATACCTAAGAGGTATGTGAGTTTACATAGCGTTGGGTTCATTCACCCATGCGCCAATCATGTTAATTTCAGCATTAAATTCGTTCTAGAAAGTTGAAGGTTTGATGTTCTAGAATTGTGTTCTTCAAATTGACTTTTGTTCTTGAGTTAAGATGAGATTAATTTGTTCTTGAGGAAATCGTGTCGATTTTAGAGTTGTGTTAGATTAGATTCTTATGTACATGTATTGGGCATCTGAATCTATAGAGAAAATGTGAAAAAGAATCAATTTAGGCGAATTGGGGTTAGAAAATGAAGAAGGAAAAATTCGGGTAAAATCTGGCACACAAGCCCGCGACCCAGTGCACAAAATACCTCTCCGCATAGCAGAGAGATCGCAGACCCCACTGTCTCTTAAATTATTTCGCGACCAAATATTAAAATGTATCTCCGCGTCGTGGACTTGCTTCCAGATAGTGTTTTCTTGACTATTTCTCATGATTAACTATATAAAAACACTCTTAATCATAATGATACCCTTCGTATCACAAATCATAACCTTGAATTCATAATTCAAATTCCAGGTAGATTTAAAAGTCAAGTCTTGAGAGTTGTTCGAGTCATTTTAAGAAGTATTCAAAAATAAATCAATAAAAATCGAACGACATTTCTTCAAAAAGGAACAACATAAGATAGAACTAATAGAAATAAAATAAAAATAAAAATAGGATATAACTAAGTAAAAATAACAGAAATATTATTAAATCATTCAAAAGCCCAAGCATACTCTCTACGAACATCCTCCTCTTCCTGTGGAGTATAATCCTTCACGAAACCATATACTTCTCGTATTTCTTGTAGTGTTTTCCCCGTGATCCTATCAACAAATTCTTGGATTATTACCTTCTTCAACTGCTTATCATCAATATATCTAGCAACCAAGACAACACCCAATAATTCTGAGTGGCTCATCTTCAAGAAATCCTGATCAAAATTCTTTTACTGATATTCCGTAACACCTTCCTCCAAATGCTTCTTCCAGTATTTAACCATTGTCGTCATTGTTTTGCCATCAACATTAAACAAGGGGATGGCATTAGAAGTACAATCCACGTCTTGTACTATGTTCTTGATGACTTCTGACCTCAGAACTATAGCCTCATCGAGTTTGAACTCCTCATCATCGCTAGTCTTGAGAGTTATCAGTTTTTTTGAAGACATGGCAAAGAAAATTAAAAGAGCTATGAATGAATGATTTGAATACATTAGGCTAGCTTGGTCTTATATAGTGTATTAGGTTTTAATTACTTTCCAAACTTGTGGTAGGAATATTGAAAGCAAAATATTACATAGACCTTAACTTATTATTTTTCCTTTTTTGAAGTTTAATTATATTTCTTTGCAAAATCTAGATTATTATGATAATGATATAATTAAAAGTGAAAAGGAAAGTTCTAAACTCATGGTTTCTTTAATCATTTACATGAAGACCAGTCATTTCTGATAGTTGTTAAAATTACTCTGTTTCACTACATTTCTGATTAAAGTACTCGAAAAACTAAAACAATAGAATGAGCATTTGACCATTTACTGAATATGTCTATGTCTACTCAGATCTTCTTCGGGAAATTGGGTAAGTTTAAATAAATAAAATTCGACATCGTCGCAACTATAAATTATTTTGAGTGAATAATATATCTAAAAACTAGAAATATTGTGAGGAGCTAATGATATCTAATTTTTAGGATTGTTTGGTGGAGTTTTAAATCAGATGTCCATTTAAATCATTCATTAAAACATTTTGAATCTCAAAATTTAAAATTTGATCTACCGCAAATGAAAATCGATCATTTCTTGTCACGACCCGAGTGTACACCCTGGACGTAACCGGCACTCGAGAGCCATTTCTGGTCCCCAAGCGAACCCTCATCCTAGTTGACTACAAACGGAAGACTAACTCAAGCATACAAAACTTAAAACTGAATAAAATTCATTGAACTCAATTACAAAATCTTTAACTCAAAAGATTAACTCTGAATAAAATAGTATATTCAACTCGCTAGAAATAGGAAACTCAAGTCTTTAAAACATTTTAACAAAATAAATGAAACAGACTGCTCAAACTCTTCTGTCTATCTATGAAGCTTTCAAATGACACAGATGGAAGTAGGAACAAGTCCCACGACATCCTAAAGAAACTAAAGAGAAAATGAAATCCTCCGGAAGCAAGGAGGCTCACCATAGCTAACTGGAACTGCAAGTGGTATAGACGAAGCGCCTGTGGATGATCCTAAATACATCATGAAATGATGTAGTCCAAATGGCTCAGTACATAGAATGTACGAGCATGGAAGGGGAATTCTAAAGCATAAACATAAGCTTGAATTGATGGAAAAGAAACATACTAACCTCTTCTCAACTCAACTCAACTCAAGATAATCAAGGATAAAGCAACAATAAAAGATTCAATGTATATGGAAAGTTGTTTAAACAGTATAATAACTCATTTTGTATATAAAAATACAATATAGTTCTGTGGGAGATTCTCTAACCGACAGCCATCACTATGAGTTATGTGATGATACAACGTTTAGCCCACACTGTCAGAATTGTCCTATACTTTGCCGGGGTATAGAACCTACTACTAAGTGGATCCACTAGTCTATGCTAAAAACATTAAGGAATCATCTAAAAAGTATGACCCTTTCTCCCCACGTTGGCTACATGGTTTGTGGACACTTGAGTAATCTGAACTCATCCCTATATCAGTGCTCAATACTAGCTCATATGTTTAAGAACATAACTTTTATCTGGTTTGAGATTATTACCCATAAGATCGTTCTCTTAAAAGAGATGGTACTAAAACTACTCATGAAAACTCTTTTGGAAATCGGTGTTTCATCTCATCTTAAATGTGAAAACATTTACTCTTGGAAATACTTAGTTCCCATATACCATTTTAAAGAAAATGAACTCAGCTCTACTCTTTCTCAAACTCATTTGCTCAAGTTTTAAAACAATTTGTAAAAAAACTTCTTAAAATAAGGTTCATGCCGAATTATGGACGTGAATGACTCAATTCAAGATTTTCAATAACAATGCATAGAACTCAATACTTGAAACTCAACAACTCAAAACTCAAGAACTTCAATGATACTACTCATTTCAAGAATACTCAACTTAGAGGGTTCATGCAGAATTATGGGCATGAACAACTCAACTCAAGGACTTCATGGGTAACATGTTATAGCCCCATGATTAGAAATATAATCTCAAAAGGATTAGGAACTCAATACTCACTTCAAGATACTACTACTCTCAAAGATGCTCAATTTATGAAGTTCATGCAAAATTTATGACCATGAACGACTCGACTCGAGGGTCTAAATAACAATATGGAAACTATGTATACAACTCTTCTCATTCTCATACTTACTTCGTCAAAACTTAGTTCAAATAGATAGTTGATCTCAAAGAATTAACAATTTGAACTCAAAGACTTTCTTGAATTCTACTCTTAACTCTAACTTGAATTTTAATTATGAATTCAAGAGTTATGGTTCATGAAATGAAGGATCTCGTGATGATTATGTAGGCTCATGAATACATTCTCTTTCTTCTCATACTCACTTGCTCGAGCCTTGAAACAAGTTATTAGAAGTTGTAGAAGACTCCTCAAAAAGGCTCAAAGGGACTTTCTCAAAATGTTCGAAAGAATTCTCAAGACTTGAGTCTTAACTCTACCTTGAATTTGAATTATGAATCAAAGGTTATGATTCTGTTATGAATTATTTCTAGGTTTTTATATGTAGTTTATAGTGTTTAGAATCAAAGGGGAGTAATGGTACCCTTCAGCTCAAAAAGTTTCTGGGGTGTTACAGTATCTTCCCCTTGGGATCATTTTTCCTCGAATGGCTACTAAATTGGGTATGGAATGGGTTTACTCTTAATAAGGTCTGAGTCTAATTGTATGCTCTTACTACATTCAAGCTTAACCCAAATCCTTAGGTTCGGGTTCTATACCTCTCTATAGGGAATCTCATCCCAAAACTATTACTCTTTACCACCACATTGGGCTCATATCAAGATCCACCTAATGTTTAACAACACCACATTCAAGCTTAGTACTCTAACAACTCCATGGAATCCTACCAACCAGCTCCTTAAGAAATTCTCAACACTTGACTTGATTTCTCATCTTATCATATCCCCCTTAGGTCTAAATATAACACTTGAAAGTTAAGTACCTATTCCACATTGACAACTCAATTATGCTATCTAGGCACACATGGAAAATTATAATTTAATTGGAACCTCATGTGGTAACATACCATCTCGGCACACCTCTTAATGCTCTTGTTACTCTTGTGACTTATCCACATTTCACTGCCCTTATCTAAACGTTAGGGTCTCTCATTTGTACCACTCATATTTATTGCAGCTTATCACCTCAATTCCTCACCTATTCTATGTCAAGTCTTCTAGATCAAATCTCAAGACTAACATCATCACCCTCATGTTGCCATTCTTTTGATCATGACACTCATCTCAAATTCAAGCTTAATATTTATGAGTAAACCCGAATATCAATACTATTGCTCGCGTACTATACTAACTTACAACTACTGGATACAAATTCAGAAACACTCGTCCACTAGGACCTTATGAAAAAATAGTCAATCCTTACCTCTTAGTATTCATATACTTATAATTTACTATCACATTTCCCTTCAAAACTTGAGTACTATTCACTCATTCACTATACATCAATACCTAATTAGTTTTATAACACTTTGAATATTATGGACTCTCCCTCAAAATCATAGGCCTAGCTTAGATCTATCACCTCATGTATACTCATGCTCTTCTATACTCCTACTCTTCTATTCAACACTTACACGTGGTTAGTACCTACACAATGACACTTAATCACAAACTGCTTTCTAGCTACACAACCCTCTACGTCCTATGATGGAATCTTCACAACTCATCACTTCTTATTCTACCCATATGGGAAAACTCCTCATTACTTATTTACTAGGTGCATGACTATAGTAACATAGCTTGCCAAAACATCATCTCCCTTACTTAGATTACTAAACCTCTACATACTTTCCTCTAACTCTAGGATCTTTCACTACTACTGCTCATGATCACATAACTCATGCTACCCCTTTCGGGTGAAAATATTACCCAAGCTCTAAACACACCATCATGTTAAGGGTCTCAACTAAATAAGATTTAGGGAAGAGTGTACAACTCGCTTTTAGCTCAAACGCACGATTCATATGAACATGAGTGCATTCCTATGAAACTTAAAACTTAAATCACTCATGGGCTCTTCTCAAGCCCTTCTAGAGTCTCATAACTTCCTCAAGACTCTTTCTAAGTGCAACGTTTCGACAAGGACTAACTTTTATTTTCAACCACCTCTAGTATGACTAAGGCTAGAATGAATCTGAGAAACGCACGAGTATGAATAAATCTCTATGACATAGCTCAATTGAACAATTAAATGGCTGAAATTAGGGAGACTTTTCTTAAATGCATATAATCCAGCGTTTATAGAAGTTAAGCCTTCACAACCATAAACAACACCCTACTGACACTAC